TGTATGGATGAGCATGTTTGTAAGCTGGCATATTGGCCTTGCATCTTGTATGCTGATCTCAATTGAGTCAACTAGTGCGAGATGTGAACGGTGCAGTCATGTCGCATTCATGCAACTAGGTGAGTTTCCAGTGAGTCAACGAAGCTTCCTGTGGGCAAAGCCGGACTTTCAGGATGAGATGAATTCGTGTCTTTAATTGAGCGCTTCCCGTGAACTAGAATCAGTCTAGAATTACAACATTTAATATTAGAATATAATAGCCACCATACCATGGATGTTTGATCAATCCATAGAGAATGGTGTGAAACCATGTTTTATAAACATTGTTAATTTGGCTGTGGTAGTATAGAGAAAGAGAGTAGTGAGTGTGAGTTGAAGTATATTAATAAAAGTAACTAGGGTACGTATGGGATTATTAGTGGATGAGAAGAGGTGGTGGGGCGAAGTTGGTTGACTGTGTCCTGTAGGCCTTATTGTTCTCGCTTTATTCAAAGTCATCGTAATGATTAAATGTGTGCGCTTCGTCAGCCCTTGAACCTAGGATTTTCTATATCGTGTTCCGCCTAGCCTAGGTGTTCAGCAATGATTTACAACTGAGAATTATGTGATTTCAGTTTTAGAATTGCGAGTGAGCATAGCAAGGCGTATACTAAGTAATTGGGAAATTGTGTGAATCAGTCAAAAATGCGAGCACAACCTGACGTCACTGAACTTGTGAGTGTCCTTTGTAGAATACTTTTGAAGCTCACAATCTGTCCTAGTTTGCTAATGAATGATTGACACGACCGAAGCATTGTCTCAAGCTACCTATATACTCCATGATAGTTTAAACCGGAAAGTTTTTATAACATTTCCTAAAGTGTGTCATTCATTTTCGTTGTTTTCCTTGATTTGTTGCATGGGATAAAATATTTATATTGGAGTAGTTTGTCATCATGATTTCATGTGGTGTTAGTGACCGAATTGTACCATGTTAGTTGGTCGGAGGCAATCGACACGAAGTCGTGAACCCAGGCTTCGTGCTCGCTGGCACTCGTCAGTAAGGTGTACCTGGAATCTTGAGAGCGATGGACGTCCTGTGTGGACTTCGAACCCATGCCAATCAGTGTCATAGTCAAAGGTGTTAGCACGAAGCGATTCGGGCTTCTACCGACTGTTATATCTGACTCAAGCATATGATTTAGCACACCGATTACTTTTGTTCATTGCAACATTTTTATCCTTACGATGCCAGTAGAGTTTCTCCTCCTGACATTCTATTGACTAATCAGTTGTGAAAGAACTGAGTTTTGGTTTATTGCAATTCTATCTGTTGATTATCATAATAATAATGATAATAATAATTCTAATTCTAATAATCATTATTATTACTAATGGCACTATTCAATAATATATTTTGGTACAACATAGAATTCTCAGCACGAGGTTTGTGTGTGAAACATATCTCCATACCACAAAATTGCAAAGTGGCTGGTGCGAATCTTAGAGCTTTTGCACAAATCAGTTGTTAGAAATAGTGTAAAAGATGTCTTCGAATTCACCACTAAATTGGAAAATATAAATGTCAACATGAAAAATATGATCTCTCTTGATGTAGTATCTTTGTTCACCAACGTACCACTTATGGAGACTATCGAGTTTATATGCAAGCAAATATCAGAAAAACAAATCAACATTGGCTTGCCTGAAGATAGTCTAAAGGAACTGCTCCTAAGATGCACTCTGAATGTCCATTTTGTCTTCAACAATAGTTATTATAGACAAATAGACGGAATAGCCATGGGCTCACCTCTAGGCCCGATTTTAGCTGATCTCTTTCTAGCAAAGTTAGAAAATGGACCTCTTAATGAGACTGTTAAGAAGCTTGATTTATATTGCCGCTACATTGACGACACTTTCATTGTCGCAGATCAAAACACCAGTAAGGAGAAACTCCTAGAACAATTTAACAGTGTTCACCCAGCGATCAGTTTCACTGGTGAATGCGAGCATGACAAAAAGCTGAACTTCCTTGACGTCACACTAAGCAGACGATGTGATGGCACATTAAGTAGAAGCGTGTATAGAAAAAGCCCCTCTACCTGCCAATATACCCACTTCTGCAGTTTCACACCTATCCGCTACAAGAGAAATTTGGTTAGATGTCTCACAAGCAGAGCAAAAAAGATTTGTACAGGTGATACTTTAAGTCAGGAGCTTGAATTTATTAACAACTCACTGACCGAGATCGGCTACCCCGGTGCTTTCATTAAGAAGTACATGTATGATATAATAAAGAAGTCGGAGATTTCGACTGTTCGTAAGAAACCTTTATACATGAAACTACAATTCAACGGGGATGTGGCTAGTGATACTCTGAAATATAGGTTAACGAAAGTAATCAACAGAACATTTTACGCAGCCAATCTTGCGTTGACTTTCTCTTGTCGACCAGCGATGTCTACTCAAACGAAGGATAAGTTACCTGAGTTGGTCTCCTCAATGTGCATTTACAAATTCAGCTGCTCCTGTGGAGATAGCTATATCGGGCGTACTACCAGGCAACTTAACCAACGAATGAGTGAACATCTACCAACTTGGTTCATAAACGGCCAGATAAAAACAGTACGCAGTTCAATCCTGGCGCATCTTATTGATAGTGGTCATGCGGTAGATAAATCCAAATCATTTCGAGTGATCTATCGTATACCCCCATCATTTCCCAATGGAGTTCGTTCCCGTCTCCTACATATAGCTGAAGCCATAGGAATCCGTACATATAACCCCAATCTATGTGTACAAAAGAAATTTGTAACCCCCCTATCCCTTCCATGGCCAGTGATAACTTAACTAACGATTAATTTTTTTTTTTTATTTCTTTATGATTACTATTATTATTAATATTCTATCATTAACCTTATTTACTTATCCATTATTTGTTTGGAATTATTCGCCTCTTTACATTTGCATTCTTCACTATCTAATTATTTACACACTTCTTATTACGTGACCAGATTGCGACACTACGGATCATCGTCGAACAATCAATTGAGTGGAACTCGTCACTCTACATCAACTTCATTGATTATGAGAAGGCATTTGACAGTGTAGATAGGAGGACGTTATGGAAACTTCTTCGACACTACGGAGTTCCTGAGAAGATTGTCAACATTATCCGGAACTCATACGACGGACTACAGTGCAAAGTAGTGCATGGAGGACAGCTGACAGAGGCATTCCAAGTAAGGACCGGAGTAAGACAAGGCTGTCTACTCTCTCCCATCCTCTTTCTTCTGGTGGTCGACTGGATTATGAAGACCTCGACATCTGAGAGAAACTACGGCATACGATGGACAGCTCAGAACCAATTAGACGACTTGGACTTCGCAGATGACCTAGCCCTCCTATCACATACACACGAACAAATGCAGATAAAGACAGCCAGCATAGCAGCAGTCTCTGCATCAGTAGGCCTCAACATACACAAAGGGAAAACCAAGGTCCTCAAACACAACACGGAGAACAGCAATCCAATCACTCTTGATGGCGAAACTCTGGAAGACGTGGAATCCTTCACATACCTGGGAAGCATCGTCGATAAACAAGGAGGTTCAGATGCAGACGTCAAGGCGAGGATTGGCAAAGCTAGAGCGGCATTCCTTCAACTGAAGAACATATGGAACTCAAAACAACTTTCAACCAATATCAAAGTCAGAATCTTCAATACGAACGTCAAGGCAGTTCTACTGTACGGAGCTGAAACTTGGAAAACTACAACAACCACCATCAAGAAGGTACAAGTATTTATTAATAGCTGTCTACGCATGATACTCAACATCCATTGGCCGGATACCATCAGCAACAGCCTTCTGTGGGAGAGAACCAACCAGCTTCCAGCTGAAGAGGAAATTAGGAAAAGACGATGGAAATGGATAGGACATACATTGAGGAAATCATTAAACTGCATTACGAGACAAGCGCTAACTTGGAATCCTGAAGGGAAGCGGAAAAGAGGAAGGCCAAAGAACACATTACGTCGGGAAATAGAAGCGGATATGAAAGGGATGAATAAGAACTGGAAAGAGCTTGAAAGGATTGCCCAGGACAGGGTTGGATGGAGAATGCTGGTGAGCGGCCTATGCTCCTTCACGAGGAGTAACAGGCGTAAGTAAGTAAGTTCTTATTACGTAATGATTTTAATGTTTTGTGATAACTACTCCATTTACCCATGTTTGACCTACTATTTCCAATGTTTAACTATTGATAAGACTTTTGTTATCGTATTTTATTATTCCTACCTACTATCAGTACACCTGTCTTCCTACTATCAACTTGTACTTTTATCTATTATGTGTGATGACTTATCCCATTTCATTATAATTACTGACCCAAAATTGCCTTGATTGGTTTAACATTTTCGTATAAATATTACTGTATATTAGAGTAAAGTCTGATGATGATCTAATTGAAAACAATTGTTCGCTTATATGTGTTGTTCTAATTTTCACAATGGGAATTTTTAATTTACTAAAATCTTCATCTGTTGATCAGTCTCTTGACTTCCTACAGGAGTCTATCTAGTCACTTCGACAATCAACGATAATTCAGTCGACCACAACGATCATGTCACCGACCTCCTGTAGGACTGAGATATTTACACTGGTTCATCACAGAGTGGTAACCGATCCCATGTTTGTCTAATTCTGAATGATGATCGAATTCTATCGAACACTTGAACAAGTAGCCACATTGCAACTGCACAGATGGAATTGGATCAGCATTAAGAAGTAGGCAAACATGACATAATGATGTACAATCGGGCATAGTTACAGCTCGGTAATTAACTAGTATGAACTGAACTATGCCCTACCCCTAAATATCACACGTGTTAGTTCAACTACTTATAGTTGTGTCAGTAGTGAAACTCGATATTGGAATGTTTTTCGTGTTCGGAGTTGTGAATGAGTGAATGGGATAGGTGCACGTCTTAGATTTTGTCCATTTGTCTACACTGGCCGGACAATTGCGTTTGTATTAGGCACTCTGCATTGCATTGTGTTTAGGGAGGCTGTGTGTCAAATTTTGACTAGGAAACCATCTTGTTTGTGAGCATTTGGTCAGTAGTCTGGTAGTTGAGTGTGATTGGCCAATAGTGAATATACTTGTCGACAGGCCATTGGTCGATTGTTTTCTATCGAAGGTCATCGAAACTTCTAGTATGTTCTACGCGCAAAGGATTTAAGCAGGTGCACAGCTTGCAGTGGTATTAATTGAGTGATTCGATTTTCTGTGTTTGTTCGTTTTAACGTATCTCGAAATGCCTAACGCCATTGGGATCGATCTTGGTACAACATATTCGTGTGTTGGTGTTTTCCAGCATGGCAAAGTGGAGATAATTGCCAATGATCAGGGTAACAGAACGACACCGAGTTATGTGGCGTTCACAGATGCTGAGCGTTTAATTGGTGATGGAGCGAAGAACCAAGTGGCGATTAATCCAACAAATACAGTGTTTGATGCGAAGCGGCTAATCGGTCGTCGGTTCGATGATCCATCAGTGCAGAGTGATATGAAGCATTGGCCATTCGAGGTGGTTCAAGTCGGTGGGAAGCTGAAGATTCGTGTTGAATATAAGGGTGAGAAGAAGTTGTTCTCCGCGGAGGAGATTTCGTCAATGGTGTTGACGAAAATGAAGGAGGTTGCTGAAAGTTATTTGGGCAGGACGGTGAGTGACGCGGTTATAACAGTTCCTGCTTACTTCAATGACAGTCAACGTCAAGCGACTAAAGATGCAGGTGCTATAGCTGGTCTTAATGTGTTGAGAATCATTAACGAGCCGACAGCTGCGGCAATTGCCTATGGTTTAGACAAGAAGGTTGGTGGTGAGCGTAATGTGTTGATATTTGATTTGGGTGGTGGTACATTTGATGTGTCCATCTTGACGATTGAGGATGGTATATTCGAGGTGAAGTCTACTGCTGGTGATACACACTTGGGAGGTGAAGATTTTGACAATCGTCTAGTGGATCACTTTGTGAAAGAGTTCCAGAAGAAATTCGGTAAAGACATTCGTGACAATAAGCGTGCATTGCGTCGCTTGAGGACAGCGTGTGAACGTGCGAAACGTACATTGAGTTCGAGCACCCAGACAAATCTGGAGATTGACTCGTTGTGTGATGGTATTGATTTTTACACGTCGATTACTCGTGCACGATTTGAGGAGTTGAATGCCGATCTATTCCGTGGTACATTGGATCCTGTTGAGAAGGCTTTACGCGATGCTAAGATGGATAAAGCCCAGATTCACGACATAGTGTTGGTTGGTGGTTCCACTCGTATCCCTAAGGTGCAGAAGCTGTTGCAGGACTTCTTCAACGGGAAGGAGTTGAACAAATCCATTAATCCGGATGAAGCTGTGGCTTATGGTGCAGCTGTGCAGGCAGCCATTCTAAGTGGTGACAAGTGTGAGGCTGTGCAGGACTTGCTGTTGCTTGACGTGGCTCCACTGTCACTGGGTCTTGAAACGGCTGGAGGTGTGATGACGGCTCTGATTAAGCGTAACACGACAATTCCGACGAAGCAGACTCAAACGTTCACGACGTACTCGGACAACCAGCCTGGTGTGCTTATTCAGGTGTTCGAGGGTGAGCGTGCTCTGACGAAGGACAACAATCTGCTTGGCAAGTTCGAACTCTCAGGTATCCCACCTGCTCCTCGTGGTACTCCCCAGATTGAGGTGACGTTTGATATAGACGCGAACGGTATTCTGAACGTATCTGCTGTTGACAAGGGTACAGGGAAACAGAACAAGATAACGATCACAAATGACAAGGGTCGTTTGACGAAGGAGGAGATTGAACGGATGGTAGCTGATGCGGACAAGTACAAGGCTGAGGATGAGAAGCAGAGAGATCGTGTTTCTGCGAAGAACTCGCTTGAGAGTTATGTGTACACAATGAAACAGCAAGTGGAGGGTGAGCTTAAAGAAAAGATATCTGAAAGTGATCGTCAAGTGATATTAAGTAAGTGTGAGGATACAATTGGTTGGTTGGACCTCCATCAGTTGGCGGAGAAGCATGAGTATGAAAATAAGCGGGAGGAGTTGGAGAAGGTCTGTGCGCCGATAATTACGAAGGTGTACCAGGCTGGTGGTATGCCAGGAGGCATGCATGAAGCAGGTGGTGCTAGTGGTGGAAGTGGTAAGGGACCAACCATTGAGGAGGTCGACTAACCTGTAATTGTTGTGATTAATTATTTAGTACTTGAATGAATTTAGATTTTATCCGTAACGAATTTTGACTTGTGATTTTTAGTAGTTATCGGTTGTTTGGTGGTACGGGGTCAGGGTTTCGTTATTCGCGAGTAGTGAATATCGTTGTCTAGTGTCTGGTCGTTCAGTGTAGGATATTGAGCGCTCTCTATCTCGTCCCGCACTCTATGTTGCGAAAGGCTTGTTAAGTTGAGTGTTGTGAACCTGTACGTGTGCGACGTGGCGTTTGTACCTCAGGACTATTGGTTGCGATTTAAATAGCACATCGTCTGTTCCTAGTTTATTTGACCGGAGTAGTTGTGGGACGTTGTTGCGTATACGTCAAGAAGACTGGGTGAATAGTTTGTGTGACTGTATGTTTCGATGGGGATTTTGGTGTAGTTGTAGTTGGTGAGTGGAGTGATAAGGCTATTCGTCGAGTGTTGTTGAGACTAATGAGCAGTTTGTTGAAGACAGGCGACTCGTCAGTCAGTCATCTACATGGTAGGACCTTGAGGGACGGTTGTTCCAGCCAGTATAGCTCAGTTGGTTCATCACGATAGGTAAGCCCGACCACCGCGTCAAGGTAGCGACAACGGTCGGGCAGGCGACTCGTGATTCTGGTCTGTAAGTGCATTTGCTCGAGAACTCGACTAACGAGCCAGTGAAGTGGTATGATTTCTTCTGAGACGGTTAGTGTGAACGGTCTCCAGTTCCTAGTTAGTTAATTACTGTGAAACAACAGAGGAGTTGTAAAATAAGTAGGGATAACAATGCACGTGTTTCACATAGTATTCCACGTTGGGATATGTAGGTTGGTGAAGTGTAATCAGCGTTTACTTAATTGCTAGAAGTGCCTATGTTTCATGGAGTCAGTTGACCACAGTGTGTCGAAGAACGGATGGTCGGTCAGTTGAATTTATTATAAGCTATATATAGTCGTCGGAGTTATAAACCTTTTACGTTGTAATTGGTAGGTATGTGTTCAGACTTGTAGGTGGTGGTCAGACTGGTTGTCTTTTAATTCCGCGAAACGATGTGTGAGGTTGTTTGGAGATGCCTACATGTGGCTGAAATAGAAGTGACGTTCGTGTACGCAACAACTGGAGGGGAGGGGTAAGATGGTGCGTATGTATGGATGAGCATGTTTGTAAGCTGGCATATTGGCCTTGCATCTTGTATGCTGATCTCAATTGAGTCAACTAGTGCGAGATGTGAACGGTGCAGTCATGTCGCATTCATGCAACTAGGTGAGTTTCCAGTGAGTCAACGAAGCTTCCTGTGGGCAAAGCCGGACTTTCAGGATGAGATGAATTCGTGTCTTTAATTGAGCGCTTCCCGTGAACTAGAATCAGTCTAGAATTACAACATTTAATATTAGAATATAATAGCCACCATACCATGGATGTTTGATCAATCCATAGAGAATGGTGTGAAACCATGTTTTATAAACATTGTTAATTTGGCTGTGGTAGTATAGAGAAAGAGAGTAGTGAGTGTGAGTTGAAGTATATTAATAAAAGTAACTAGGGTACGTATGGGATTATTAGTGGATGAGAAGAGGTGGTGGG